CTTTCTGTCGAAACTACAAATTTGCGATAGAATTAAAATAAATTCGGCCTTGTCCAATCCAGGAGTTCAAGTGTCTCATCGTTACAGTTGCTTCGGATTGTCACGTCTCCGATCGAGATCGATATATCGCGCGCGAAGGGCAGACAACGTTGTCGAGTGAGACCACAGGTGACACCTATAAGGATCTACGATCTATTCGTGCACGCTCGGCTGATAAAACAGCGAGGATCCATTTTTCTGACGGGCGACGAAGAAGCAACGTCAGGCCGGGAAGTAATATCGCTGCGCGATCGGATCGAATTGAAATTCGCGAATTCGATCAAGCGCGGCTCGCGCACAATTACGCAAGGTGGATCGACAATCGGCGCGTCGCACCGTTGAAATCGCGCCGTTTATCATTTAACGCGACGATGTGCATGCGTTATTTATGCACCACGCTCGAAATGCGACGGTACCCTCGCTAATACGGCCACGCCGTCGCGGCTACACTTGCTGATATTAACATTTAATTAATGCGCTTTGCACCGGGAGCAATTAGAGGCGATTTAGATCAGCGCGATTACGATCAGCGACCGGAAAAGCGCGAGCGTCCAAATATATCGATTTTTCTCGACTCGCCGGCAAATATCGCGCGTTACGTGAATGAATATCGCCGGAGAAGCTTGCAACGGTGTGTAAAGCGAAAAAAAGGAAATCGAAACAAGAGCGAAAGGCGATAAAACGCATCGAGCCATAATCCGACAAAGGTGATTACGGTCAAAATAAAAACGCAACGAGAGACGCGAACAAGCTCATTGACTGCGCGCGTTTCGACACGCGTTTCCGGCAGCAGCGCGTGAATTTGCAAAAATTACTTCCACTTCTCTTCGCGCGCGCGCGCGCGATATTTCCGACGGTGACGAGAGAGAGAGGAGGAGGTTGACACCGACGAACGGGAGCATGGGGAGGAAAACGTTGGCGTCAAAGTGACGGAAAAGAAAGGAGGGGCTGCACAATGTGGCAAGAGTCACGGGGTATCGCTTTGCTTGTCGTTTATTTCCTCAAACAAGACTATCGCGTCTCTGGGGAGACCGCGGCGTCGTAATTAGCGCGCGTGCTGCGGCCGGTGTCCCGTTCTCTTTTGCTTTTTGTGGAGATTCGTGCACTCCGCCTGGTCCCAATGGTCCCGGCATCCCTCGCGGCGGTCCTGATAATGAGAACAAAAAAGAAAACCAGAACAGAAGCTCAAGGCGACATACGGCCCGACCACCCCTCTTCGTAACGCGGCCACCGCTCGTCGTCGTCGTCGTCGTCGTCGGGAACGACGCGCGACGGCGGATTGAAGAAGAGCGGAGACGAAAGCGAGAGAGAGAGAGAGAGAGAGAGAGAGAGAGACAGAAGAAGAGAAACGACAAAACAAGAGGGAGAGAAAGAAGAAGAAGAAGAAGAAGAAGAAGAGAGAACCACCGTCAAGCTGAGGATGTTAGTGTAGCCCATAACCTAACCCAACACGATCACGCGCCGTGGAAATAATGCGCGAGCGGCGTTTTTCAAGCGGCCGAAACGACGCCGTTTCGCACGGAACTACTCCCCGACTGAAAGCAAGCATCCGACGAGCGTAAATAGACAAATCCGGAATCCCGTTAGTCGAATCGAATTGCTATTCGCGCAAGATTCGTCGGGATGCTTCTCCTCGCCTGTGGTTACTACTACAGTCGCCCATCGCCCTTGAGAGTAGCGAGGGAGAAGCCGCGAAGAGTCTCGTCCGCGGTAAGATCGAGAGACTCGCCCAGTGGAGTTTGCACACCCTTTCACATACACACACACACACACAGAGAGAGAGAGAGAGAGAGAGAGGGGGGAGGGGGAGAGGGAGAGAGAGAGACTCCTTACAAAGTGGAGGGATACGTAGAGCCGAAGAAGGGAAGAAGTTGGAGAGTCGCGAAGAGAGAGACAGAGAGTGAGGGGGCGGTGGGTTTAGAGCAAGGGGGAATCGGGGTGAGATAAAGTCGATGCCGCGACAACAAAGGACAAAGGAACGACGCGCTTTGTGCCCGTCGCGCGGAAAGAGAATAGAATCTCGCGGGGAAGCCCGACCGCGCGCGCACGCACTGGATGACGTATCGTGGGTATTCGAAACAAGAAGGCGGCCGGCCGAAGCACTCTCTCTCTCTCTCTCTCTCTCTCTCTTTGGGGATTGGAAGAGAGGTTGGAGAGAGAAAAAAACAACAAGCTTCACCGGCGGGAGTGCCCGCAGTACTCGAGAACTCGTCCGCAGCGCGAGACTCGGTTTTTCGTCGCGTCGCTTCGCGAGGTGATATCTGGCGGCCGCGCGGATTCCGTCGGGGTAACGGTCGTGTGAAATGGTAACGTGTGAAATTTTCATCCGCCCCAGGCAGAATCCTTCTCTTTCGCTCCCTGTTTTTCTCTCTCGTATTATATCTTCCTCTTGTATTATATTTTCATGCGACGGCCGTGTCTGTGCTTCGTCGTCTTTTGTAATCGTACTTGACCGTCGGGCGCCGACAGAATTTATTTCAGACCGCGCAACGAGGCAGATTCCGCTCCGCGCTGTTCTCGTTTCTCCCCCCCCCTCCCCCCTCCGCGGCTCGTCCAGTTTCCGCAATTATAGAGCTTTCCCGATTAAATCGGTAATTAATTCCGATTAGTTGATCTCTTTCATCAATCCCGCGAGTGCGCGATGCGAGTCTTGTTAAGCCCGCGCAAGAGTTTCTCGCAGAGAAACATCAGCATCAGAAATATTATATCGCGAACCTGCGTACACAACTTTCCGTTTCCTCGAATCTGCGAATCAGACTGGACGGAGTCTGACGCGAATCCTCGTGTACGAGTCTCGTTTCGAGTTGATCAGTCTAAAGCCTAAATCTCGCGAGTTCTTCCCGGAGTCTGAAGAACCTCCCGCGACGACCTCAATCAGCGACATACTCGTCGTGCAGCGATTCCAGCAATAGCAATTGCAAAGGCACGGAGTGTCAAGGTAGATCCGGTGTTTTGACTACACTGAATTATTATCAGAGAGCAGCCTCACTCGTTTCTCAGAGCGATGCGCTCTGGCGATTAGCTCTGCCGCTCAGAGGCGTACCATGACGAAAAAAAAAAAAAATAATAGAAGCAGAGACAATAACATATCGTATCGACAATAACATAGCGTATCACGCTAAAAATGAGGACGAAGCGCAACGCGCTCTCGCAATCCGCCGCGCGTTCCGATTCTGCCATCCACGCTTCCTCGGGACAGCCGAAGAGGGAGAGGGGAAAGTCAGCGGCAGCTGCGGCTGTCGACGCGCACAGCAACGATCGAGAATCGATGATCGGTCCCGAAGCGAAGTTCACTCGCAGACCGCGCCTCGATCGTGCAAATATTTTCGCAAGTTGCGCCACGCTCGATCCCGTGACCGTAACGTCGTTAAACAGCTGCGCGTCCTTAATAACGCGACGGAGCGCGCGTCGTAACCGCGGAAGCAGGGACGAGAACCGCTACAGATCACACATGCATCACTGTCATGCAAATCGCTTCTCCTGCTGACTCCTCCGCTGCTAAACACCTCATTCTACCAACTCGCGCGCGCCTCTCTCGTCAGCCCGACCTCGACCAGGAGGACGCTTCGCGCGTCCTCGTCGCTCGTTGATTATTCGAGCGCACTGAGAGAAAAGTATATGATATTTGTAATTATAATGATATAGTAACTAAATTGAGGTCCGAAATATCATATTTATAGTAAGTATTACCATAATCGGTAATAATTACGATATAAGCACAGTATAACCAAGCATATAATATTTTTACTAAGAATTATAGTAAGTTAAACTAAAATTATCGTATGGATACAAATATAAAATGGTAGGTAAAGTAATTCTTTTATATAGTCAATATTACGAGAATATTCGCTAAATGATGACAGAGTTGTAACTATACGAATATTAAATCTCATTAGATTTGTGAATGAGAAATTACCATATACGTGGTAGAAGTAACTGAACAATTATTTAAAACAATCATTGATTATATATATGTTTATTGTTTATTCTATTATATTTTGCAGGTTCCATGAAGTATAAAAATATGGTTGACGCCAAAATGAACTATAAAGTATAGTGAGATTATAGTTAATTCAACTATATATTTCTATCAGTGCGAGCGTTTGCTGAATCGTTTACAGGCCGGCCGATGGGAGTGCCGTCTGCTCGACAGCTAATCGCGGGTCGCGAAGTTGCACGCCGACGGCTCGGGGGAAAAGTAACTCGCGTATTTTCCGCCCTCGTTGTCCGAGAGTCGCGATTTAGTCGAGGGAGACTGTCAACGCGCATGTTCGGATGAAACGCGTAGATTTCCCAGCCAACGGAATTTCAGCGATTTCTCGGCTTGAGTTATCGGTAATTCACTGCTAATTTGCACGCGCATGTTCGTTGTCTGAATACGCGGCTAGAATCTACGAGAAACACTGTGCTCATGATTCAGCGTGCGATTGTGATACGATTTCCATGTGATTTCCGTTCGATTCAACACGAAAACGAATGACCGCGAGTTTTATCTCTCCGCGCCGCACTCGGCTCGTGCGCATGTCAATATTAAATATTCCGGGCGAATGGTTAATACATTACACGCGAACGCGCTCGGGTTCGCGGAGACCTGGAGGAATCGCGGGGGAAGATTAGCGCGCCATATCGAGCGTGCGATTTGTATTCCGTCGATTCCGTCGCGACGCCCCGGAAAATTTCGCCTCGCGTCGCGCCGAGAGCGGACGGTGAGCGAGAACGAAACTCCGAGCGGAGCAGTTCTGCGCGAAAGCAGCACATCAACATGCAAATTGCGAAAGGATCTCACAGAGAGTCAGCGTGCTTTGGCCGAAAGAAGCGATGCGGCGGGGCGATAGGGAGCGGGGCGCGCGCACGAAAGAAAGAGTGCGGCGGAGGGGGATCCTCGGGAAGGAGAAGCGGCCGCGAGTGTTAATGCAAATTGTACTTTCGCAAGCGTTTTGCAAGCATCCTCGAGGGCTCACCTGGTCGCTATCGTGTCCCTGCCAGCTGTCGTGACTCTGTAACAAGAAAACAGAAAGCTTGCAGTGTCGGTGAATGGTGAAACTTGAAGAAAGATGACGGAAACGCGCCTTCTACGGTCACGTCGTCTACCGCGTCATGTATTAATCGAAAATTGCAAACTGGTAATGTCAGCGAGCGCTAGTCGATAAAATTGAAGTAGCGTTTTCATCCGAAGAGAATGCTTCGATTTAACGCGCTGCAGAAATATGGCGCAGTTGCGCCGGAGGGAACGCGATGCGACTCGCGATGCCGCAGAACGTCGCGCTGTAACTCGCGCGAATATAACAGTCGGCCTCTCGAGCAGACCTATTTCGCGTTCGTTGGGACGGCATATGTTTGACGCGACTTCATTGTGTGCGGAGCATTGTCTTCGGGCCCGTAGACGCGACAATTGTGCGCACCGTGTCCCGCGTAATGTCGGACAATAAGTCGAAAGTTTAAATCGCGCGCGGACTGCCGCCTGCCTGCCTGCCTGCCGTCGCTCGTCGCCGAACGGGAGAAGTCTTGTCGAGATATCGTTTTCGTTATCGCTCGATCGTTAATCGCCGGCGTGCGCGTGAACGAGATAGGCGAGAGACTGGCGATGATTAAAGGCCTCGCAGAGGCTGCGCGAAATTCCGACACGTATCGCCGCACGTCGAAATTCCGTCGACTCGGAAGACACGCTCGGTAAACGCGCGCGTCCTTGTGGAAGTCACGCGGAAATATCTGACGACGGCGGAGCTACGAATGTTTATTGAATATTAAAAGCAAGAAATGTTGTCGCGTGGTAAACACGCGAAACGCGGTGCAATTTTCCACTCTGCTGGCCGACGAGTCGCGGGCGCAACACGCCGCGATTTATTACTCGAAACTCGATGGGCGACCGTTCGCTCGCTCGCTCGCTTCGGGAAATCGCCGGGAAAACGAAGGGCGATGGCTCTCCGCTGTTTTCCCGTCAAACGACCGCGATGCACACCGCTGTGATATACGTGTGACGACGGCTTCGTCAATTAAGAGACGCAAAAGAAATAACCTACATTCGCTTTTGTGCAAAGTCCAACGACGAGGAATCTCCGTCGCCGACGTATTCCCCGTTAAACGAGACGAGAAGCGCGAGGAGACGGGAAAAAATCCGGCCGGAATATTTCTCCTCTCTTTTCTCCTCTCTGCGCCGGCGCACGCTCCACTCGTCGCGCCGCGAGGGAGTTTATCAAATCGATAGGAACAATATTTTCGGTTATGTTCTCGCTCGCTCGCCCGCCGAACCGCTCGCTTTTATCGCAGATTTTTACATCGGCAAACATACTCGATCCCACCGTCAAAATCTTCGCGCGCTCCTTCCGGCCGTTAACGCCGCAACGCAAGCGCGTGTTTCTCGCAGGACGATAACTGTAACCGATAACGCTCTTGGGATCCGGTAAGCTGCATGTCAAGCAGTCGAGTCCCCGAATCGCAAAGTCGAATATCGCGATGGCCGCGTTAACGAGTGGCAGACACGTCACGAGACGAGTATCTCTCGGTCGCGCAGAGTCGTAATAATATTGAAACCCGATGAAACGTTGCGACGCGACGTAAATCGCGCGCGACGCGGGCCGGCAGAGAGGCGAGAGAGAGAGAGAGAGAGAGAGAGAGACGAGTAGCGTGATTTTGGACGGGATCCAAGGGGCCTCGCGCCGGACGGAAGCGCGCTACGACGACTCGACCATTCAGCGTGGGAAACAAAGGCTCGCGAATCTATCGCTAATTGGCTTTTCCCAGAGGCGCGCGCGATCTTCGCCGATAGTTGGCGGTACGTTTCGCTCGTAACTCCGACGCGGTTCATTAAATCGGCGTAAATGATACGAGGGGGAGTGTATGCGAACGGCTGTTTTATCGGACGCGGAGGTCGGCCGGTGTCGGAAGTATAGGCGGCGGGTTAATGTCGAGCTGCCTTGTTAGATTTATGACAGCAATATAGGCGTCACGCGGAGGAACGTCGGAACGTGCCCCGTGTACGCCGCGAACGTTTTGTTGCGATGCGCATTCGATGTACACGCCGCGGAATTTATGGAAATCGATGCGCGCGCGCGTCCCTCCTGTGTGAACACAACTACTTTTTAATATCAAATTTCTCTGTCCGCCGGGCGTCGGGTCGCAGCGAGATTAATTGTCTCACTTTCGGAATTTCATCTTCGCGCGAGATAGACGCGGCAACGATCGATGCGTGCGTGCGTGCGTGCGTGCGTGCGTGCGTGCGTGCGTGCGTGCGTGCGTACGTGGCGGGGAATTGATGGGGATCGCGGGACGGCGCGATAGGAAAATATCGTGCGGCGCGCGACACATTTTTCAGCGCCGGGCTTTCGCTTTTGCGCCGCTACGGCGCTCTTAAAGTGTGTTATACGGAGCGTTATGATAATGAAATATGCACTCGACGAGCGCGCGCGCTCCGCTGCTGCGCGAAGAAATATTTTTCGCCCTAAGTGGACCTGCTCTCGCTGGCTGCTGAGCACCGGCTCTCTCTCTCTCTCTCTCTCTCTCTCTCTCTCTCTCTCTCTCTCTCTCTCTCTCTCTCTCTCTCTCTCTCCTTGCGAAGGTCGGAGGACGGAATTACAAATCCAGATTTTTCCCCGGGGGAAGGCGTGAGAGATGCGCTCCTATCTATAACTAAAATCTTCACTTTATCTCTCGTCACACATCGAAGCTGCTAATCATGCAGGAAGACTTGAAAAAAGGGTAAAAGAGGGGAGAAGTATGCAGGAGGATTCCCGAATCGCGCGTTTACACAGGCGTGCCGGAAGACCAAGAACTCGCGCCTTTGCGTGTATCTTTACGCATCCGCGCGAGAGAGAGTCCGCGCACACAAAGAAGAGGGCGACTGAACTAATATTTACGCGTCTCTCTCTCTCTCTCTCTCTTCTCTCTCTCTCTCTCTCTCTCTCTCTCTAAAGCGGCACCGTTTCTTTCGCGGCACGGCAACACGCGTATCGCTGACAGCTCCCCTTTAACGGCGGCGCCCCATTATGCACGTCAGCGAGTCATCCAGTCTCGTTTTTGACAAAGGCTGCGGAGAGACGCGTGACCAGCTTGAATTGAATAATTCCTCATGAATCACCGTCGTAGTCGCGTTAATACAATATCGAGGGAAAGGGAGAAAGAGACGGGGAAAACGAGAAAGAAAGATGCAATTGTGAATCTCAACGGAAGTCTCCGGAGCGGGCATTCAGAGACACGCTAACTGTAAGAATCGAGAAGGCTCTCGCGTTCCTGACCGGGACGGATATGTCCGGTCCTTTTGACGTCGCGTTGCATAAAATTAATATCGCGGACGCGCCGCGTTTGTCCAATTAATATCGGAGCACCGAGCTCGAGCATGCAAATGCAATCGGCAAACCGGCTACGCCTCGTAATGATCCACCGCGGCGGATAGATGCCCGCGGATCGAACTTAATCGCAAACTCTCCCCGGGCAATTCGGCGCATCCGTAACTTTCGACAAGCGCGGGGGCGGAATACGTAGACCAACAATAGCGAAAAGTTTTCTCGTTTCCGATCGACTTCGCCCCGTGGCCGTCGCCGCGCGCTTAAATGCGCCGCCCTTATTTGCATTGCGTTCTTTATCTTTATTTAACGCCCCCTTGTGTGTGTGTGTGTGTGTATGTCGCCGCTCCTGCCTCAATAGGATAGGATAATCGACGCGCTTTCTTCCCCTCTCTTTGTCTCTCCTCTCGTCTTTGTTTCCTTTTTCTACCGCTCTTTCATGCGGAATGAAAAGAGCGCAGCGATCGCACAGTCGCACCCGCAGCACTTTTCGCGAGCACGTTTCACGCGGACGTGCGACTGTACGATCACGACCTCTCGATTCGATTTCTCTTTATCAATCCCCCTCCCCCTCCCCCCCGCCCCCGTCCGGGAATGTCGAACACGAGGACTTTTTCGGCAACCAACGACGCGCGCCCCTGGCGGGAACTCCCGAGCGGATACTCGCGTGTCTCGGCTCGGCTCGATCATGCAAACAGCGACGGACTAGTTAATCGGGGAATGAGGCGCGATTAGCGCGCACATGAAAATTCAACGGCTAAGTAGAAACAACATCGCGCGGAAAATTCACGTCTCGCCGGGGGTGCGTTGGTCGGTTAATTAAAGCGGCGTGGCAGACGCCGGAAATTCACGGAAGATTATGAGCACGGGCGCCGGCTATGTGTAATTAGACGGCAGAGAGCTGCGAAATATCTCAGGGAGGGATCCAAATACCGAGCTCTCTTTCTCTCCTTCCGTCCGCTCCCCATTTGGCCCCGTTCTCCTTCGTCTGCCGTAATTATTTTCACCCTTCAGATTAACCAGGAATCAACATCCGTCTCTGCCCCCTCCCAGCTGATAATCGCGCGACGACGCGGCAGAGGACGACCGGCTGATAAAGTCGCTCGACCGATCGCGCGCGCGTCGACAGAACTCGGAGAAATTGATTGCGTTTTCGTAACGACGACTAATCGCTAACGTAACGAGCGATAATCGCAGCTCGTTTGGCACGCGTACGCGGGACGGCCGCGAGTCATTATCCGGTAATTACGCGGTCATTTATTTACGCGTGAATTTACGAAGCGACGTAATTACATCGGAGAGCACGCGAGCGCGACGGCGCGGCGCGCACGCGAGAGGGACGATAATCCAATTCCGAGTCGGGAATAGAAAGAGATCTCTCGTCAGAGATGATTTGTCGCGCGCGCGCGCGCGCACCGGATCGGCGAAGCGTCCCGCGCGCGTCTCTTCCGCGAGAGAGACGCGCGACGCTCGTAAATCCGGCTTAAGGGCCGGATGGGATACGGCAAGAAAAGAGAGACGCGCGGATAAGACCGCGCTACCGTTGCTACCGGGGAGAGGAGGAGGGAGGTGGGAGAAGAGCTACCGTTGGACGCGCGGGCAGAAAGGCGCCCTTCGAGGCGTTTAAAGGGATCATCTTAAGCGGAGTACCATTCTTCCGTCATGAAATAAATTACGAGCCTATGAGAGACGCGACAACGGCGCGCGGCCGCTTGTCC